AATAATAATAGTAATAATGATAATAATAATAAAAATAATAAAATTATTAAAATTAAAGTATGAGTGTAAAAACATTTGCCCTTGTCATTATTAGACTGCTGGTCCTAGGAGCACTTTTTGTTGTTGGTATGAGATCCTACGTGCTGACGACCACGACGACTGAGCAAGCTAATTATATAGAAAACCTGAAGAAATCGCCCGAATCATCAGAAGAATAGCCATGAACGGTTACGATAGTATGGTACATCCCCCAGAAACACACCGAGGGCATATTTTGAGACTGAAATTTGGTAAGAAAATATAGATATATACAAAAACAATTTATATATCTATACTGGACACACAGAAGAGTAGTGAGTGCATGAGAAGGGAGTGATCGATGAAAGTATTTCCCATGGGACACTGTTATAGTGTCATGAGAGGGGGGATATCCGTGTTGTATATAAGGATGTCGATTTTTTCCTTTCATATCACAATCATGAACAACAATATGCTATCCGAGGCCGTGTTCGACAACAACATAGAGTTGGTCGAGGAGCTTTTAAAGAACAAGAACTTGACAGTTGATCCATACGTGTTTACAATGGCCATACGCAGAGGGAATCTAGCCATTGTCAAGCTGCTGCTGCAGGATGGACGGGCAGACCCCGCGGCCAGGGACAATACAGCCTTTGTCCTGGCCTGTCGTACCGGGCGGCTGGGCGTGGTGCGACTCTTGCTGCAAGATCCACGGATCGATCCGACGGCGCAGGAGAGCTCCGCGTTCATTCTTGCTGTGCGCAAGAAAAACAGGAACGTGGTCAGGGTGTTGCTTCAAGACGGCCGGATTGATCCGGGGGCAAACATCGATGCTGCCATTGCCTGCGGGGTCAAATCCAACTGGGTTAAGATGGCCAAGAAGCTGCTCCAGGATCACCGCGTGGGGGTTAGTCGCCTTGTGGGACGTGGACGCAAACATCTGATATCGCCGGAAATGTGGACGATCATCAACTCGCGACCGGAAATGGCCAAGCTTCCGGAGATCTTTGTACCGGGCTTTTCGTACGGATCACGGCAGACTTGCAAGGGCGCGGCGGTGCGTATGGAGAAGTACCTTGAAACTGCACTCGGGACACTTTCAACGTACACTAGGTCGGATGCCTTGATCTTTATTCAAGAGCGCTGTGAGCAGCTAGAATTGTACGGAGCACGCTACTTGGGAGTGTCGCCGGGTACGCACGAGTCTCGGGAAATGGTCGCCCGGGGCGTTGCACTTGGTCTGTTCAACCACGGCGCGACGAACAGCATTACCGGTCAGTTCATATATACAGTACGCTGTCGTGGTTGATTGATCACATACTTTTTCGAAAATAAATCTTCCTTTTTTTTCTTCTTCTTGTTTTTTCTTTTTTCTTTTTCATTTTACTTGTGGTGGTCGTCGTATAGCCGGCGACACACTCACCACCTTGTTCATAATCAGTTCATCGTACTCGTTCGACAATATATCAAGCGCCACGCGGCAACTGAATGTCCGACATTTCACGCCCACTCTGTCGAGAATAACAGGCGCAAGACGCCTATTTCGTAGTACCATCACAAGTTCGTCTTTAGGCTGGAGAGATCCTGTACTTGTTCTCTGTACACTCTCCCCCAGAACGTGTGTACCATATGAGTCAAATACCCACGCCTTTTCGCGGACTATTAGGAACAGGTTCTGTTTGAGCTCGGCAAACGTCTTGTTGTATTTGCTGTCGCCGCCACATTTGTCTATAAAGCGCGCAATAACCGACGCCAAATCTACAAATTTGGCTGGGAACATCCATATGTTTTCAGGCATATCCCAGCGATAATCGACCATGAACTCCCCATACGCTGGATTGATGGAAAAGTAAGGGTTACGCATCAACATGGCAACCATGGGAAAATGGTAATCAATTTTGGCATAATTAATAGACCACTCGTACATTTTTTTATCAATGTCTGGAAACTGCAGCATAACCATCTCTACATAGTCGGGGTCATTAGTTCGCATCACTTTGAACAAGGCCAGCTTCGGTTTTAGGTACGGAACTACAAGTTTTACCATTTCGGGCGTTGAATGTTTAAACACTTTCCGCAATTTGTCGTATAGTTGAATGTGTGGTCCCATTGCCCGTGCAAAGTCGATGTCCGATTGTTTAATTGCCATTTCAACTAGTCGCCGTGCATAATTCACTTCGGGTAGATTGCGCGAGATGCAGGAGATCATGTCCAGGCGCGTGTGCACGTTGTTGAACGTTATGCTCTCAGTCTCCACATTTGGATAACGCAAGAACGTGTCCAGGATCTCAATCGTTCCGTACTGGTAGATGTCTTGTTCCAACTCCATACTGGAGTACTCGAACAAGAGCGTATCGAATGTGGTTTCATCGTTGTATGCAATTGCAATTCGCAACCTCTGCAGGGTGGCGTCATCTCCCTCTAACGCGGGAGGGGGGGCCAACTTTGCTGCCTCGTCTTTCCCGACGAGATGAACAACCATAGTCATTGCGGTGTGTTCATGTGCAATCTTTGCCAGTATTGAACGATCATATACAATGTCAAAGTTGGGATGGTTCAGGAAACATTGCCACCAGAGTGACACAACACGTTATCGGGAAGATAGACAACATGGCGTATTTTGCATATATCATCCATGATACGACGTTTTAAGAGCGGTACAAAATATCCATCCGAATTAAAGTTCGTAGTTTCGTAGCAATTGTTTACTGTATGTTCTATGTATATGCAGTAGGGTACGGTACGCTGTATATTTTGGTATATGGGCGCCGAATTGATAAATATACTCTCGACTATTTGCAGTTCACAATTACACGTACACGCAGGTCGTAGCAATACCTCAATTTTAATGCACTGAGCACCAGAGTGACACAACATGTTATCGAGAAGATAGACAGCATGGCGTACTGTTTGATTTTGCATATATCATCCAAGGTACGAGCAATATATACACGTTCTAAATATCCATCTGAATTAAAGTTCGTAGTAATATTCTTTATCTTTCGTTGAAATAGTGTCAGACTTCCTAATCCTTGTATCTAAGCTATGTGCAATAACATGCACTGTTTGGTTTGGGATTTAGGTGAACCCTAACAGTCTGAGAATTCGTCGCTGGACGAGAAACTTTCGTCGTATGAGCTTTCGTCCGAGTACGAACTCGAGTTTGGGTACTCGGTGATCTCCTGATCGTCGCTATAGTCTTCGTACTCTTGCACACTGTTTAATGGCCAGCTTATAATTGAAAACGGGTGTTCCAATAAAATTTCCTTATGTTCATATCCAGCCCTGGCTCCTGGACGGGGATAGCTCGGGCTCGCACACATGTAGTGCTCGCGTATCAGGCGCGAACGGGAAACCCTGGATTTCACCTTACGAGGTGACGGTACACCCCCCAGCATATATCCACCGATTTCCCTGTTGGCCAGCATGTCCCTGTTCAGGTACCATTTCGTACCCCATGTTCGTTGCAAGCTTATTCCTTTGCACTGTTTGTATATGAGCTCCAGTTACTCATACAACCGTGTATGGTTCGTGGCGTTCAGGATATAGAGTGTATGTGCCCACCACAAAACCAGAATTGAGGCACTGTACGTGTGTGCCACGGACAGTAGCTGTCGCGCATAGCCCGGATAAGTACCAACGACCCTGTGCGCTTCACATACATTTCTGGAGTTCCGGTTTGGGCACTCCTGGACCTCACCTCGGATTAGCGCCAGGCACTTCATGATTTCTCTTGCACAATAGATAGGTAGAGAGAAGTTTAAGGTTTAAATGTGTGCCTAGATTAGAATGCGTTCTATATATGTTTTCGGAAAGTGAAGGCCATCTTTGTGAGGAAAACCAAATATTGCGAGAAGTAAATGCTCCGTATAGACCTCAGAGTATATATGTAGCATAATTGTTGTTTAGATTTTTTTTTGAAGAAAAAGAACAATACTTTGTATGTATGTTTATGTCCATAAAAATGTTTTTTTTTGCTGATGGAAAACAAACCAAAAACAAAAACAAAACCTGATTCTCCATACAGAAGTTCCGATGTGTTTTTGATTTCAAAACGAAACATTTTGTTTTAATTTTGTCCAGTTAAATACATATTTACATATTCAGCAGAAGCAGGCTACTCCAAACAGGTGTTATCTAAGAAGCAGGTAGAATATAATAGTTACTCCAAACAGATCTAAACCCTAAAACCGGTGATTATGTAAGATTCTCGGATATTCTCGGTGATTATGTTTACATATAAATATCCGTGTTCAGATTCGTTTTCAACTCACACTTTCCGAAAAACAACAAAGCTAAAACCCCCAAAACAACAACAACAACAACAATGGCCAAGTTCCTAGTGGTGCTACTTTTTGTGGCTACGGCTGTTTCCGCTGCCCCTGCCATTGCTGGTCCCGCTGTGAACCGTGCCGGTCCCACGCGCTCTGTGGAACTGGAATGATGTGGATACCTGCTCGTTTTTCGAAAGCGATTGCTGCGACGAAAGCGTCTGCGACTACATGAACAAGTACGCCAACGGCGTGTGCAACACCGAGTGCAACAAGCGAGTCTGTGGCTACGACGGAGGCGATTGCAATTCGAGCAACAAGCGCTTCAAGCTGGCCAACAAGTGCGACTTGTCGATCGATGTCGCTGTGAGCTACATGACGAACGACGGTACATGGGTCTCCCGCTGCTGGTACGATGTCGATCCTTTGACTACAACCACTCTGGTATCTGATTCCACTCCCTTGGTCAGCGCGAATCTGGTTTGGTACGTGTACACCGAGGTGAGAACCGGGTTTCATGTCTGGAGCGGCGACGCTGACCGACAATGCAACGGCAGAACGCTCCCTTTCCGCAAGGTGACGGGTGCTGCCACAGATTCCACTTGGGCGTACGCGTTTACATGTGCATAAATTGGGCGTACAAGATAATCGAGGTTTGTAACCCTAAACCCTAAAACGGAACTTTATATATTTCAAGCACATCTCAAACCGCTGACACTCGAAATCTCACTTTAGACGTGAACACAACATCAACAGTGCGAAAGTGAACGCCAAACAACAAAAACACACAAACCCCCCAAAATCGCCAAGAAAATTTCTCACACTAAGAATTGAACACGTGACCATCACATCAACAAAGTACCGGAATTTTGGCCGGCGAAAGGCCTAGTCATACGTTGGAAGACGCCATGGCCGGCTCTTACGGGGGACGATCTAGCAAACCTTTTCCGAACGACAATGGAAACAGCACTCAAGCCGATCAACGCAAAGATATCTCAACTAGAGGAAAATGTCAATAAGGTACGTACATCTGAGAAAGACAAAACCAAGGTAAGTGGTGAGAAAAGTGTTGAAGAGCGCCTGAATAGACTTGAGTCTGCGTATAGTCTCTTACAAGAACTGAACAATCAACTCAAAGTAGAGAATGAACAGCTCAAACGCAAACTACACCAAGTAACCAACACAACAGACACACATACACCTATGCCAACCATGAACACCACTGATTTCCCCAATTTGGGCGAATCACAATCGGACCCGAAGCAAAGGCCTGGGCCGAAATCATTTAAAGAAATGCTCAATCAAACTAGAAGCCCATCCTCTCGCGAGGCACAGGAAGCTCTCTTTAAGCCAAGCAAACCCCCATCTATTTGGGATTATCCGGATCACTGGGAGCTCTCCGCACTATACTTTAACTGCAGCACTCACGCTTTAGAGGATGGATCACTTCCAACCAACAAACACCTATCGAAATGGCTCTGGAATTTTCACTTATTGAAAAATATCCCCATCTTACACGCTTCGTATCTTTACAAAGATCGCAGCGCAGTTGAATTAGTCGTTCCTGCACGCTTTAGTTCTAAAACCAAACAGATTCTATTAGCACGTGGCTGGCGTACAAACAAAGGCGCCGACCCTATGAATGTGACTAACCCAATCGCAATCAATGGAGCACGTACTCGTTTAACCACCGCTCATAAAAGTGCACTAGAACGTGAGAAATGTCCACCCCAGTACCCTAGAGTGCTCGCATACCTGCTCAGTAGAGTACCCGACGATCCAACACAGCCTAAATCTAAAGCAAATTCTACAGATTCCGAAACAGCAACCACTAGTTCCAATATAACAAACACACTCGCCATAACTACTAGTTCGCCCGCAGATATACAAACATCTGCTAGGTCAGAGAGTGATCATATGGAAGTACAATCAGAGATCACTAAATTATCATTAGACCTCAAACGTAAGTGTCAAAGCGATAGCGATAACGAACGAGCTAGAACTAGACTCGAAGGCAATGATGATGAATCATTAAGCGATAACGAACGAGCTAGATCTACACCCGAAGGCAATGATGATGAATCGTTAGATACTATGTCTGAAGATGAATTGGTCGCAGTCTTAGGAGATGGGTTTAACTCACCACCAATCAGTGATCCAGAAGCGAGAAAGGAACTCTCTGACTTTATACAAACCCGTACTGATAGTAAGATGAAACCGCAATGAGTGACATTCTCGTGTATTATGTTAATCTAAATTCTCTAATGAATGTAGCTAAACAATACAAAATAATACGCTCACTTTGTAGTGAATACGATGCCCTGTGTTTAGTAGAGACCTGGGGTTATACTGATCGTTTGAATGCTGTGTGTAATAATACTAATACAAATCTGATCTACGCCTCACCGCCTTCTGCCAGTGCTCATCGCGGGGGCAGAAATAACGGTGTTGCCGTGATTAGTAGACACAATGCATATCAATTTAGATTGCACGCTTTTAGTCAATATTTCGTGGCTTTCATGTTTCGTGCAGTGACTATTGCTTGTGTATATTTGGCGCCATCCCTAGGGGATGATGTATATACTTTGCTATTCTCTCTGAATTGCAAACCACACGTGTTGTGTGGCGACATGAATATTCGTGATATCGAATATGGCGACGATAAAATCATTTCTCCTGCGCGCAGAGAATCGATTGAATTCTACACACGACTACATAGGTTAGATCATGTACTCCCATCGCAATCTGGGAATATACGGGTCGATCACGTATATGCACAAGCACGCACAAAGACATCACTATCTCTTATACGCTGTAAAGATATCGGGCTCAGGACAGATCACGAGTGGGTATTTGCAATACAAATTGAATCACTAGATACTCAGACAGTACACTCTAAACCTGCAGACATAGAATGTATGCCATCTCAGGGCTACAACAGATATCGCATTCGAACTTATAACTGCAAAAATTTGCGCTATACACGTACATTTTGTGCCAAAATTCGGGTGTTTGCTAAGACATGGATCAAACGAGTTCAGAACTCAGATTCATATACGACTCTATAATCAATCAGTTTTGGAAACGAGCACAAGGCTGTTTCTACGGTTACTTCTTAGAAAGTAATCCTCATAGATCATACACACCCCTCCGCTCCACAGAACGAGTACCCAACAATGCTATAGTCAGGTTGTTCTCTAAACAGAGAAAATCTAGAACAAGACAACCCACTATACCAAATACCACAGAACCAACTGCACATATTATTAGTTCGTTTTTAGAAAAGTTATTCAACGGAGATGCCTTCTACAAGATACCAGAGAAAACACACTCAGAATTTATCCCGATAGACCATGATGTTTTCACTCCAGAAAATATTATGGATGCAATTTTGAGATACGATAGTCGGAAATGCTCAGGCCCGGATGGCATACATATCGATCTCTTAAAAGCTGCGATAGAACCGTACCCTAGAGGCCACAAAGACCAGGGGAAACCCAATCCCAAATCACCAATTCTCAAGGTGTTGCATCTGTTATTCACTAAGATACTTCACACGGGAGAGATACCTGATGCATGGCTATGCACTCTTATAGTACTTATCTCTAAGATTGATATACCGTTAGGTCCAGAGCAATTCCGACCTATAACTCTCACCCAGATATTAAGACACATTTTCCAAATCGTGTTGTTCAGTCATATTAACAAATTAGATGCATTCAAAACGCACAAAAGACAAGGTGGATTCAAATCCGGCTATTCTTGCTTTACACACGCACTGACATTACACGAATATATAAACCAGGCCAATCCTACAGATGCACCTACACATCAGATATTCCTAGACATTAAGAAAGCATACGATTCTGTGCGATTGGACAGGTTGTGGCGTTTATTACACAATAGACATGTACCCACACAACTCATCAGTTTGTTCAAAAATATGTATCTCAATGTGACTTCGCGCGTTACGTACCAGCAAGTGTTAGATACAAAATTCGCTCGAAATAATGGATTGACCCAGGGCGACCCAATAGCCCCTACATTATTTAATATCTATATAGACCCACTTTTAAACAGTCTCGAGAAAGTTGACTCCAATGGGTTTCTCGGCTGGGTAGATGACATGTCACTATACAATCGAAACACCCTGAAACTACAGCAGTGTCTTAATCTTGCAGCCGTGTGGGGCAGACGATCTGGTGTTGAGTTTCACCCACTAAAGTCACTATACATAGCACCAGAAAACACAAAGGACCGATTTACATTTGTGCTCGATCAATGTAGTATACAATCCACTAAGACTGCGCGATACCTTGGGTTTCCAATGAGCCCGAAAGGAATCAATATAGTAGAGATGCTTGCAATCCTTTCGGCTTTCGAGCTGGGGATCACTTGCACCCGCATAACAAGCTTATGATTTTTCGAATGTTTATACTCTCCAAAATCACATTTGGACTCTGTTTTATTCCTTTAGCCGATAAATCACTCACTGAAGTGATAGAGAAACAGTTATTCCAACTCAATTTTGTGCTCCATCGTGCTGTAGGGTATATTACATCCACAGCGGCACAGAAAGACCCGCCTAGGAGTTTAACACCTACTATGCGTAATTCGATCAAATTCTGTGGCTTGCTTGATGCTCAGGCACTGTGTGAGTGGCAATGTGTAAGTTTAATCAATCATATTAGTAGAATATCAATCTGAAATCCACTGCAAGACTATATGAACAAACGGAAATCCGTTTTCACCCCGACGGGACTCACCATGCTCGCTCGCGAGAACATCTATTTCTATCCATATTATAAACTATACAGACAATTGAAGATTTTCTATACCAAAAAGAAACCAAACAAGGAAGAGCGAGCTGAGATTTCGGCTCATCTACCCCGGCGAAGAAGAGCGCTACCGATTCGACACACCGCTGGAACATCACAGCTTCAACAGTCTTCTCTTCCGAGTTCCGACGATCTTCCTGTTCTACATATTACACAGGTTCTGTTTCACGCTAGAAAAGACCCCGGCAGGTCTCGCATGCATCGGCTGTAGCGCTAGAAAATTCACTCCCACACACTTTACATGTCCCTTCGTGTTAGAGTTTGTGTCAATACTGATCGCACCACAGAAAGGCGTAGTAGTTAATAAAACACTGCTAAATGCACTTAGTAGTCGCAAGCGTTATACAGACATGCTAACGATTCACGATCAACTAGTATATATACACAAGGGACCGATAGAACCAAACATACTCATAGAAAAAGTGTCCCCAGTGCCGCGTTTCATGACTACTGTAGTTCATACGTTACGTGTAAATGGTGCACACCCAGGCAATGAATTTATATGGCCATCACTGGCTAGTATAGATCGTTGCCAGCAACCCAATAGAGTACTGTGGATTGATAATCCGCAAATAGATTTCAATACGCTTCACCCAGAGGCAGCAGCGTACATAATTACACCACAGTATTGGAAACGCACACTACCCAACCACCACATTCACCCCCTGTTCGATACAGATCAGGATTTAGAAAACAATATCCCAATAGATATCACTCTCTCCTATATCACTAGCAGTCTGGATCCACCTGATTTTACCAAGTGTTGGCAAATATGCCTACGACAGATTTGCATTGACTTGAAGCTGAATAGCAATTATATTCACAAACATCCTGCTATGAAACGCCCACCTCCTAGAACACATCCGCCTTAAGCGCCTACCGGCAGACACAGTTGCAAATCGCAACCCGATGATGCGGTAGTGAGTCCGAGACAGTAGTGCCGCTACTGGTCTCTCTCTCATATTCAGTAATACGAAATGCAAATCGGTCACAGTATATTTTCAGCACTTGTTTCCAACCAGTTAGGATTTACAAACTACTACTAAAACAACCCATAGAACTACATACCCAAAGAAACCAAGCCACATAGCAAACTAAACGCAGCGCAACAACTCAGCCATTACATAGTTCAGTTAGCCTCTACCTGAGGAAACAGGGATTAAGGCACAAACTGCGACACCTGCCGGCCGCCACAGGTCTTCGGACACAAGGCATTGTAATATTGTATATATCAATAGCGTGTAAACAAATAAAGATACCTAAAACCCTAAACCCTAAAAGCCCGCCCGATCGATTACGTTTAATAAAAATTTGGAAAAAAAAGAGCATTTTGGAGTTTCTTTTGTACGAGATTGGAGCCCAGTGTGTACTTTGAATATATAAATAAGTATGTATATATAAATAACTAAATAAGGTGACTACATATACGAAAACGATGGTGTCCAATAGTATGCCTACGATATCGGAGACAATAATGGAACAAATCGTCCAAAGATCATTGGACGGGATACTCTACGACCAACCAGCCCGCGATCGCGGTACTACTGCGATCGTCGATATAAGAAAAGAAAAAAGTCATCGGCGGGGTAAATATCACCGATTGTCTTCTAGACCGTAACGACGCGTTATGTACGACATCAAAAGACTTGTTGTAAAGGTGTGGCTGAAAGGTGCAAACACGTGCATAAACCCTAAAAAAACTAGTACGTAACAATACATGTGCACATATATACATATGCGTCCACACATATAATATACTAGTACACAAAAATACATATATACATGTACATATATACACACACAAGCACAAGGTGTGGGAGTCTCACGCCGCCAGACTTACATGAGGGGCGAAGTCGGGGGATATATTTTATTATGTTAAATCTTGGCTCTAAACGACTCCATCGATTTGTGTTTAATCCAGTGATATTTGCACTCGATTGATTTATCCTCAGACAGAAATCCGTCCTTAGCTGCTAAGGCGGCTACGGGGCCTATTTCGCTGGGTGTACATACGGAGAAAATAGTTTGCCAGTGGTCTTGTACCATCTCGGCCATGAATGTTTTATCAGAAGCCAGGATCGCCGCGTTAAGTGTTATTTCAATGTTCTCGGACGAGTACTGGCGGCATTGTGGACAGATAAAGTTTCTCAGTGCAGCAACTTGATCTGGTCTCACATTCGGAATCAGTAAGGCAAATTGCACAGGTCATTTTCGAACAGTATAATTTTGCGATGAACCAACATGTGTCCTGTGACATAGAAGATGAAATATGACATGAAAATATATTTTTTACAAACAGTTAAGTGTATTACATGTGGTCCGTATTCTGGTTTTTATAAAAACGTATTTAAAACTCCCTGTGTCGGGAAAACCTTGATTGTTTTTCCC